TGGTGTGCTGAAAAAGGAGAACTTCTGTTTCTAACTGTAGTCCTTCAAATTCTCATTAATCACTCCCTCATTTTCTCCCTAATTTACTTTTTATCATCCCAGCCTTAGAGACCCAACTGACTTTTCCCTATTGTCTTCTCCATGCCCTCAGAACCTACTTACCACTGCACATGAGTCTTGTGTATACCGTGGAATATCTTCAACGATTTCTGAATGAGTTTCTTGGTGTATAGTGTGTTATTTTTATTGGTTTTTTTTCCTTTGAATTGCCATATTTCTTGTGATATTATGCATAGAAAAACTCCTTTTTTTTTTTTTGGTGAGAACATCCTGCCATAACTGAAGCTACAAATGTAGGAAAATGAATCACTAGAATCCCAAATCTAACAAGAGAGTATTTAGAGAACTAATACTTCTCCTGTGGCAGTGTTTTTCATAGAGTGAGGTAAAACTGTCACCTAGTGGTCATAATAGTTGTTCCTGAATTACCATTTTCATTTGGATATAGCCAGAATGTTTCTTATCCCCAGGATGTATCACCTGAAAATATTAAGGTAAAAAAAAATATGTATCTGAAAGGCTTTTAGGTGAAGGGAAAACCCCTGGAATCTTTGGTAAAAAATAAATGAATTTATAACTTTGTGCAGAGGAGCTGTGAAATCCCATTTTCCTCTCTCTCCCACAGTTTATCACAGTGACATACCACTTTCTGCCTTACTGAACAGCTGTGGGAGGCTGAAGATCAAGATAACTGAAACTAAAATAGGGCAACAAAAGAACCTCTCTTATTAGGTATTCTGCTACAGTCATTTTACAAGTCAGTCTCAGTTCCAAATTTCCCCTTAAAAAAAGCAGTAACACTTCACCCTAACTCATCCTAGAAGGCCAAGTTCTGTTACAGCATCAGTGCAATGCCACTGTTTTCAGTTGGACAAGCACAGATTGTGGGGGAGAATAGCTTTCAGCCTAAAGAAGTGGGTCTTCTCTTGTGCATTGACTTCAGCAAGTTGTAGTGAACCTGCAGGGATATATCAAGAATAAGTAGGCACCATGAGTGGGCCTCCAGATCTGTGATTACACACCTCTTTATAAAAAAGCTATTCTTCAACAAGCATATTGATTCCATCAGAAGAGAGCTATGTGCATGCTAACGTACTAGTGCTTTGTGGGTAGCTGATCAGCAAAGGTGATACAAACACTGAGACAATAATGACTGGAGTTCAGCAAATAAATGTGAAAAACAGCAGGACAGGTACACGGTGTAATAAGAATATGCTCTTACAAAGAGGAAAACAGGCAGAGTAAAGTGCAGTGTTATGAGTTTGATGACTCAGTGGGGTGTCTGTGATACTCTGAACAGAACAGGGTGTGATTCCCAGATTTTCTTATGGAGAGATTCATGTGTACTCATCAGTGAGGGAGCTTTTATGAAGTAAAATCTCCTGGAGCAAATTGGCTAATATAACTCATAATACTTAGCAAAAAAACTTCCTGTCTAGCTCGGTTTGCAGATTCTGTTGATTATTTGTATTTCCTCAAGGTGTTGGACCCCCAGTTTTCGATCAGGATCCACTTATTCAAGGTGCTTGAAAACTCAGAGCTTCAAGATAGCATCTGCCATGTAATGCCTAAAGTTTTAAGTATATATTGAAGTGCAGTGCTGACAGAGGCAGATTATGGCAACCAAATTACAAGGCAGTCAGATCTGTGTAAACAGAAATAATTTCATCATGTCCACACTCTTAAGAATGTAATTATTATTGAACAAGTGTCATTGAAGAAGTTAAGCAAAGACATTGAAAAAAAAATTACGAGGTACCTTTCTGGATGTTTGTGCAGTTTCCTGCCTGAGGACAGTAGCATCTAAAGTAAATGTCAAAAAGCATGAGGTGAATTATTTTTAAACTTAACACATGTTTAAAGACAGCTGTGATCTTTAGCCCAACAGAGAGAAAAGATTTCTCAACAGTGAATGCAAGGGAGAGCATGTTAGGCTGTGAAAGCCTTTTTAATATATTCATTAGTGAAATATGTTTAGCAGAGAAAATTCTTTGTTTAATATTTTCTGTGAATAGGTTTTGATCTGACTGCATAGATTCCGTGTAAATGTATTTTTTGAATTTCCTTTCTAGTTATGACTAAATGCACTGCACAGTTTTCTTTCCCTCCCAGTTAAATATGAATCAGGTTTTACTCTGCTTATAAAGATTTCAGATTTTAAAAATTTTTTTTTAAAAAAAAAAAAAAATTTAGCATTCTTTTGCCAATACACTCATTCTTCAGATTTGTGTGAAGAAATCCCTGGGATATCTAGAGGCAGGTAGCTTTGTCAATGCTCCTGAGAAAGTCATACAGCTCTAATGTGAAAACTTAAATTTCTATAGCCAATAGGATGAAAACAGAGGATACTGAAGTAATTTCAATTCATAACTGGAAGTAAGCTGGCAGAACTGCAGAGCAGTCACACACTGAACCAAAAGGTCTATGATGGACACAGGATTACAAACTAGACTGTAAGTAACAAACTACAAATAAGAATAGGTGATGTTGGCAGGATAATGTCGTCGTAAATCCTGAAACTTGTTTGGATGCAGAGATAGGGTAATACCTGAAACACCATTTTTAATGGATTCTATTACTAGGAAAGTTGTTTAAAGGAGGTAAGTGATGATATAATAACCTTTCTGCTAATATTTACAGTGTAACCAAATCTTGCATGTCACTGTGATGGGGGATGAAGGGCTTGACTTTGTTCCCATGAAATAATTTGCAGTTAGAGATGCCCAAGTATTGATGCATATACAGAAGCTATGCTCAGTCTCAGGATTTGTAATGCATCCACTTTTTAGTACTCCAGTGTCATCCTAAAGATTAGGTGAGCAGCTGCTCTGTGGGTGCACATCTGCTGGCGTGCTGGGCATGTGAGCTCGGTGCTTGGGACTGTCTGTAGTCATAAGATAACTATATTTATTAACTGCCTGATTAGAGCAGTTGTAAACTGTCAAGAGACTGGAATGTGTGTGTCAGGGTAAAATATAGCAGCAAAGGTGGGAGATGCAAATTTACCAAAATTAAATGTTGCAGCAAGAGATAGCATTGGTAAATGTGGTTAAAGCCAAACCCTTTCTTTACGGGATGAGCTGAAAAGTTGCTGACTTTCTTCCTGTGACTTTGCAACATCCTGGGGAGTTTAGAGGGCAGGCTTGCCTGACTACTAAGAAACAGTCAACACAGCACTTTTGTGTGGAGGATGTCTGCAGCACAATACCAGCACAGTGCAAAGGGGAGTAGCAAGTGACCTGACAGAGAAAGAGGAGTGCAGGAAGGGACTTTCTGCTTTATACCTTCTGTGCTGCTGAGTACAAAGAGTGTATTTGCATACGTGTGTATACATAAGACTCTTAACTCACATTATTTATCACAATCCCAAAGTAAAATCTTTTTTTCTGCCCATAGCAGGTCTGAATGGGGGCAAAGAAAATAATCAACCAGTTAGCTACTTAGCAACGTCCAGGTCTGGAACTTACATGATTAAGCCCAGTGAAATTGCCCTGTAAAGGATCATAAAACCCTACAGCTAGACAGCAGGTTAGCAGGTAATATACTTCTGTAAACATAATATATCATATATAAACTGGCAATAATCTACCTTCAAGAGCTGATTTGTCATAGCACGAACCCCATTTATGGACACTGAACAACATAAGCCACTTTCCAGTCCACAGAAAAAAGTCTTAAGAAGTGATGGCACTCTGTTTTGGGGTGGGAAGAAAGATCACTGGACGGTGTTGTACCTATTTTACGTGGGGAAATTCAGAGTATTATGGCTGAGTTGACTGGCTCTCTTCCTTAGTAAGTCACTAGACACTGAGGTTCCTTGAAAACTTGTTTGTAGCTGCTTGATATTCAGCTTTGATCCCTTGCACTCTAAAATGACATGCAGAAATGGAGAAAAGCAATACTTGCATGCAGAGAGCACCTGGACAAAAGTGGCTGTTTCATAGCTGCTAGACAAAGAATAAATAACTAGCTGTAGTGGTTTACATGAGTAACATCAGTTTACATTTAGGAACTGCAATCAATTTAGAAGTCTTAGTGTTTTCTAAGCACTATGTCATGGTCCTTGGGAGCCTAGATCAAAAGAAACGTGTGGGAAATGACATTTCTGTGATCTAAAGGAAAAATCTAGTTCTTCTGATGCTACAATCAGACCAAGTACCCAGTCAGTCTTCGAAAATACTGAAGTAAGAGGTAGTAAAGAGATTTACAAATGAATTCCTTTACTCTTACTGTAAAGTCTGTTCATATTTTAGCTGGAAAGGTATCAGTCCAAAAAGTCTGAGAACTGCTATTATATAGAGGATAATTTATTTGACTTATTCCCAAAGGATATTTTGGGAAGGTGAGAAGAAGTCACCTCAATATGAGATGCATTAAGATATGTAAGCTAATTTACATACAAAAAAGTGAACTTGCAAGTACATTTAAAAGAATATCAATAAAACATCTAGACATAAGAACAAAAATATCTTCGGTTGTGGTAGTTAAAATAAGTATGACTAGAATTAGCAAGCATTTTATCCTTCTCGTACATAATTGCACTCTTATAGAAAATATATTTTAACTTGTTTTGTGAAATATTTTATATTTGTTTCTGATAAAAGTAGCCTATGAGATTTGAGTAACATAATTATTTTACAGTATCTTAATGCTAATACTCTTAAGAAAGAGAGAAATGCCACATCTTTGGAGTATCTTATGAAAAAGTAATCATAACAATTATCTGAAATACAGAATTAACATGGAATCATGGAATCATAGAATGGTTTGCATTAGAAGAGACCTTCAGGATCATCTAGTTTCAACCCCTCTGCCAAGGGCAGGGACACCTTCCACTAGATTAGGTTGCTCGAAGTCCCATCCAGTCTGGCCTTGAACACTCCCATGGATGAGGTATCCACAACTTCTCTGGGCAGCCTGTTCCAGTGTCTCACCACCCTCACAGTAAAGAATTTTCTCCTAATATCTAATCTAAACCTAGTCTTTTTTAGTTAGAAGGCATTCCCCTTTGTCCTGTCACTACATGCCCTTGTAGAAAATCCCTCCCCATTTTCCTTGTAGACTCCCTTCAGGTACTGGAAGGCCACAATTAGGTCACCGCTAACCCTTTTCTTTTCCAGGCTGAACAATCCCAATTCTCTCAAGCTTTCCTCATACGACAGGTTCTCCATCCCTCTAACCACCTTTGTGGCTCTTGTCTGGACCTGCTCCAACATGTCCATGTCTTTCTTGTGTTAGAGACTCCAGAGCTGGAAGCAGTACTTCAGATAGGGTCTCACAGAGCAGAGCAGAATGGCAGAACCTCATTCCATCTGCTGGCCACGTTGCTTTTGAAGCAGCCCAGAACACATTTGGCTTTCTGGGCTGTGAGCACACATTGCCGGGTCAGGTCCAGCCTCTCATCCACCATCACACCCCAGTCCTTCTCAGCAGGGCTGCTCTTGATCTGTTCATCCCCTAGCCTGGATTGATACCATGGGTTGCCCCAACCCATTTGCAGCACCTTGCACTTGGTCTTGTGAAATTCTCATTGGCCCACTTCTCCAGCTTGTCCAGGTTCCTCTGGATGGACATATATCCTATAATGGTATCCTATAGTCCTATAGGACTATATCCTATAATGGTATCCTGAGTTACTGAATATGAAACTAACAAGTAAATTAATCATGTTACTGAAGACTCTTTCTTAGTGAATGATCTAAATTTATCACTCATTTCCATTTTCAGAACTGGGTCTTCCCTACCAATATCTTCTGCTATTTAAGGTATTCAGTGATGATTGGTACTTGGGTCACTATGTTAGTAAAGTGCAAATTAGAAAAAGGTGGCTGCTGATTGAAGAGTGTTTCATTTTAGTTTGGAAATAACGCTCCTCTGGTCTCCCAAATGTGTGCATCATAGTGTCAAGTGTATCAAAGTTACATTTAGAAGTGACTGACAAAACTAGAACCTCCAGGGCAAGAACAGTAAAGGGAACACTGGTCACAACATCTATTCCAGGAAAAACTGTGTTATGGGGTCAGTCCATTTTTGCAAGGAACATCACTGTTTCCCTTCCCAAGGAAGAAAGCAAAACAGGGGGGAAAAAAATAGACCTATAAAGACTCATCGGCAAGCACAGGTGTCTGAACAGACCTAGTGAGCTATGCTGCCCCAAAATCTGAAGAAATCCTCTGAGAAGTTTCTCTATATAACCAGTCTTTTATAAAGGACGTCTTTCCTTTTCCAGTGTTGTTGAATTGTTCATGTTTCGGGCCACAGTTCTTGTGGAAGATTCTGCCCCACTGTCAGATCAGACACTGAGTTGTAAATTACGTTTTCCTTCTGCACGTAAGTAGTATAAGGTTCCACTTCCATCGTGTCATTCTAGCAAAACAAAACCAAAAACTGTGAATGCAAGGAGTAGTTTAGTTTGGCAAAACCCAGCAAGCCTTTGATATCAACTGATGAACATAACTGGAAAGTAGTGCTCTTGTTTTTATTCCTCTTCAACTCAAGAAAAAGACTCCTCTATTGCTTTTTCTATCAAAGAATATGTGTTGCTTTTTCTGGCAAAGATTTGGAGGGTAAAGCTGACATATTGGTTCACTTGCCTCCTTTTCCTTCCCTTCTACACCACTTATTTTTTTGCCTGAAAAAAAAGTTGTGTTAAGGTCTAATTCTCTAGAAAGAGCAAATAATATACTAAAGTCTTGACTACAATTGATTCCTCCATCAGTATACAATTTTAGTCTACAGACATGCTGATAAAAGTTACGTGATGTGATGGCAAGAACACTGGTACTTAACCCATTATTTTGCTTTAACGCAACTGCATCTGTCAGCAACAGCTTGGAGGTAGGGCAGCAGAACAGCAGGAATAGTAATAACTAGAATTGGCTAAGTCTTTTCAGAAGCTGAAGCATCTTTTTAAGTTGATGACAGAATTTGAGCCTAGCATCTACTTTAGGTGCACAGATACAATATAATTGTAACACATCTTGTCTTCACAGAGGTGCTTTTATTTGGATTTGGCAGCAGAGAATAGAGAGACATCACTGATGAGTGAGTTGCTCAGCTACACGGGAAGCTTCTAACAGCATAGGGAATTCAATAATATCTCCCAGTTTGCAGCTCAGCATTCCTTCCGTTGTTTAATAAGATGTTTTGTCTTGAGTCTGATTGTTTCATTGATTGTGGATTGACCATACTAGATAAAGAGGGACCTTCAAAACTCACACATTATCATTCTGGACATGAAGAGGGACATTCCTTTTCTCCTTCTGTCTGTTAATTTGGTTGTTTAATCTTCTTGTTTACTAATAGTTTTCTTAATATTCCCCAACCCATGTTATTGCCTCCCTTCTTCATTACTGCTTGGACAGGAGTTGTGGTTGGTGTGTCTGATATAATCAGGAAGATGTGGTGGGCATCACTCCTTGCTAAGATAAAGAAGGGCAGTAGCTGAGTGTTTGCTGTTGGAACATGCCTCTAGTGCTCCAAGTCAAAATTATGGTAAAATTAAGCTTTGTTTTGTCCTATAAACAGCTAAGAACAAACATATAGGACACAATAATACCTGCGTAAAGCACAGAGTGAAAATCTATTGTTTTCTCTTTACTGACTGTGTTTTCAGGACTACCAGAAGATCCCTGATTTGGTGATGTCTAACCTGCATAATTCTCCTTACCTGTATAGGATCAGTTTCAGGAGGTGTGGTTTTGTGGCACAGTCTGTGAAAAAGAAAGCAAGTGTTAAAGAAATTCCTTCCTTAGTCCTATGTTTGTCTGGATCACAGCTTGGTTTCTTTGGTCAGAAGCATATGAAAATTTTCTTTTTTTCATCTTCAGGAGTAAAGCCATCTCCTGTCTCTCTCTCTCTGACTTTAGATCCTGAAATTATAGCATCCCGACTTTCTCATTTAGGATGCTTTCTTAGCATTATTCAGTGAAGGTGTGTGCAATGCACAGTGTCTGCAGTATAGAAATATTTGATGAAGTTACTTCAGTTATCCATGGCAGCACAGACTGACAGAGTCATATGATTTCAAGACACCAAGAGTACTTTAAAATTTATTCTAGCACTACACGATTTTTCCTTAGCACCCTATCATACATACCTATTGCTGTGGAGCTTGATGTAGTAAATGACAGCCATGAAGGTCATAATGCTCAGAAGACAAAGGGTAATGGAGACATACAGGATAGAGTTCTTTTTGTCTAAACACAAAGAGTTAGTTTGAGTTATATCTTCTTACTACTCATTTTCTGTATTGTTTCAGTATAAGATTAAAGTTGCTTTAGCACATACACACAGTTTCAGCATGCTTGTAAGAGAAATATAATGTCCTTCAGCAGAAGGCAAAGTCAGCAATGAAACACAAATGGAGTCTGTGTCAGAGACAAAAGCAGATCCCACAAATCCCACAGTGGACACTCATGATATTTTTTCACTAAGCCACACCTGAGCCCCTCTCAAGGATTCAGTATTTCTCAGCATTGCAACTCGTGCATAGTTCTCAAAAGCAACAAAAAAACCAAAAACCAAATACCAGAGGTCATAGAGTGTCAGATATTCACAATTCAGAACAAAGTGATTTACTTGTTTCTGCTGGCCACACTAGAGTTGGCTCTCTTTCTGTCTCTTACCATGACATTTAAATTTGCATCTGAAAAAACCTTGCTGATGTTCCACTTCCCATTGGTTATGACTGCTTTGTCTCTGTTTCCAACAACGTTTTCACTACCAAAAGAATGCTATGACACTTATGTGTATCCCTCTTAGGGAAGAAATTCTTAGGAAATAGTGTCTAGAACACAAATGAGTGGTGATGTTTCTGGTCAAAGGCAGTTGGGGATGGTACTCTTGTCTTTATAGGACTTCATTGAAGCTTTCTATACCTTTTGTAGATTTTCCTTCCTAGAAGTAATGATAGTTGAACAAGCTGAACAGGCTTTTGAACAGCAAATGCACGAAGGGAAGCTTACCTGAGGGACAACAGGCTATGGACTCACTCCAGCTCCCAGCTGGGTGGAACACCACGCAGGTTGTGTCAGTCACATTGGTGTCACATGCTGTCAACCTGCTGAGAACAGTCGCTGTCCCGTTGTCATGGCTTTCTTCCTCAAGGGAGGAGTTGCTCTCTAGGAGCCACGAGACCTGAGCAGGCGGCTTCCCTGCCGCTGCCTCGCACACGGGCTTCCCGTGCTCGTCACAGAAGAGGCTCAGCCTTGGGGGCACTGCAAAGCACCAGGAAGGGGAGAAGCATGGAGTTAGTTTCCTGCAGCTGGGACAGGATGTTCTTGTTCTCTACCCAAAATGAAAGCAGTGAAAAGAGGAGAATGAGGTTGGAGGTGCTGTCCCATGGCAACAACATGGATCCAACTCACAAGAGACAAAGATCTTGTCTCTTTTTTCCTTTTGGACAACTTTCCCTCATTTATGTGAGCCTTACCACAACCATGCTCCACATCCTCTGTTAGGATATGGGAAATTACTTCACAGCTGTTGTTTCTAACTAGGCAGTGGAAAACATGACCACAGAAGGGAGCAGAGTTTTGGGAAATAAGGAGAAGGGAGACCCAGAGACATTATCAGTGATATGCATGGCAGTTTATCCAACAAGAATCACGGCTTTGAAGGGACTTTAAAGATCATCTAGTTCTAGTGCCCTTGCCATGGTCAGGGACACCTTCCACCAGACCAGGTTGCTCAGAGTCCCATCCAGCCTGGCCTTGAACTGCCAGAGATGGGGCATCTACAGCTTTCCTGAGCAGCCTGTTTCAGTGACTCACCACCCTCTCAGTATAGAATTTCTTACTTAATATCTAATTTAAAGCTACCCTCTTTGATAAAAAAAAAAAAAAAAAAAAAGGCAGCTCAATTTTTTACTCCATGTTTCCCCAGTGCCTCAGGAGAGGAGCTTTGTATGTCCAGGCCCAGACATGGTCCTTTGGAGAACTGTAAACAGGGAAGGAGTTCCTTACCCAGCACAGTCAGGTGGTATGTCCTGTGGAAATTCCCTTCTGGTGTTACAACTTCACAGATGTAATTTCCCTCCTGGGCTATCCCCACTTGCTGTATCTCAAGCACAGGACCCAGATCTGGTCTGAATTTCCAGTTCATGCTGTCACTGCAGTTTGTTCTGTCTGTTGTGTTCGTATCTGCCCTGTAGCCCAAGTTGCAGGGACCTCCAACCTTGGGATATATTTTCCATGTTAGCATATTTATATTTGGTTTGAGAGGGCAGGCGAGCACTGAGCTGTCACCTACGGTCACTGACACTTCTTTGTTCCCTGAAGGAGAGAAAGAAGGAGAAGAACATGTTAGATAGTGCTTGGGGGTGTCACTCATAGTCCTGAAGTTGAGGTCAGTGCTTCACAGGGAAATGTCTGCAATGGTACATGCCAGCATGAACCGTGTCTGTGCTCATCTGCAAATTGTCTGTCATCTCATACTAGAGCTGTAGATTATGGAGCCAGTGGCCTGTCACAGCCTACCCTCCAAATACCATCAACAAATTTCCCACTGGGGTTCCTCTTAGTGGATAAGACTGGATATTGAAGGAGGACCCTAATCCTTCCCATTGTCTTGGACAGTTTGTCATCTGAAATCTGCCTCTATTGGCAAATTCTTCAGATTTGCAACTCCTTTGGGTTGCTCACAGGGCGGTTGCCACTAACAGAAAATGGAAAAAATAGAAATATGACTATTGCATTTGGCCACATGATAATGACTTTTCTCTGGAACTGTTGCGACCAACAGAGTAAACAGCTTTTACTTCTGCATTCATACAAAATCCAAAACTGTGGGCAAAGGCATTTTCTACACCTCTTAGACATGAAAAAAAGCACAAATAAGAGTGGTGGAGCTTTGTGCAGAGGAAGGATTTTGTCTTGTGTCTCAGGGATGTCTTTTCATCTTTGGAATCTTTGTGAACATACACATTTACACTGTGAGTGTACATAATGTGTACATATGCATTCACACTGTGGCTGTACTGTTTTTACTGCAGCAGTTCCCATACAACATGAATGTAAGTCCTACCCATCTTTGTGCCAGGCACACAACTATGAAGGTGTAAAATGTGCCCATATCCTTGTGCCTCTTGCTTGATAGGCTGAGATAACAGAGGAACCTTATTCAGTTGATGTGTTAACATGTGTTGACATTGAGTATGGCTTGTTCTTGAATTCTGGTTTGCATTTGCTGGGAAACACTTTTCTTTTTTTCTTTCTAGACACTGACTCTTCTTTTATATTTTAAAAGATGACTATTGCTGGGAGACAGGAAATACTTCTTTTCTGGATCCATGAACTATGCATTTGAAGCCACCAGATGAAAAGTTTGGACACAGTCCTCTCATTCTTTTTGGTAGTTATCACACTGGTTATTTAGGGGTGGAGAGCCAGATCACTATTATGGCTCCTCTGTGTATTGCATTTGTTCAAGACAAGTCACACCTCAGGATTGCTTTTTATTTTCTTATGGGTCCCTGAATTTCTTTTTAGCCAAGAAAATAATTTGCCTGGGATTTCTTCTTCCATAAGCTTTCAGAATGGATTATTTTTTTCACATATTGAACATAAGTCATGCTTTGCATTCTTTGTATTGACCAGATTTGGGACACCTCATCTGCCTGTGTCTTCAGCTGACATATCCAAGGATCAGGTTTCTAGCCCAAGATTCATTTTGCTATTTCCTTGACCATTGAAGCCTCTCAACATGATGCCACCTTTAGGACAGTTGGTTCTTTTGCTTTGTTTCAATTACTCACATTGGGACCATTTCCTTTAAGAAAGTATTTTGTGATGGGTTTTGTTTGCAGGTAAGGTACCTGTGAGTGAGCATTCCAGGATGAGAGGAAAGTTACCTGTAACTGTTCTTCAAGATGAGTTGCTTGTATGTGCACTACTGTTGCCTACACTTTCACAGGCAACCCACCCTCCTTTGTGAGGCAGTTGTGAGACAGAGAAAACAGAAGTATGAGGTGCAGGTTGTAAACCAGTGTGAAGAGGAGGTGAAGGAATGGGACTTTTGTGTCCTTGGGCTCCTGCTGAAATTAAAACAAGCAACCCTCAAAATTCACAATGTACGTACATGTTTAAATAACCACCTGAAGAAGACTTGTTGCCAGTAAATAATCTTTTTCAAAATCTCCTAGGTGCAACAGTTAATGAGTTAGCAGGAATAATACCCACAGCTGTCATCCAAGAAGCCTCCATTTACCACTTCACTCACTTCCTCCTTTAATAGGTCACTGTTAACCTTTGGGACCACAAACCATTGATGTCTCAGTTCTCTGTGTCTCTGGTGGAACCTGAGTTGTTCTTTCCTTGGGCTGAGTAATAGTTTCAGTGGCATTCTGAAAGCTGTGTGTGAGGAAAAAATCAGAGTACTACTTTCAAACCATGCATTAATCTGGATGGACAACAGAAGTTAACAAACCTGATTTGTGCTGAAAAATAAGTTTTTCACAAGTTATTCCGAAAATGTTAAACCCCTCCACAAACCTTTCAACAGATATACTAAAGCAGCAATTGAAAATTCAGCTGGATATACAAAGGATTAGAAGGCCTAATTTTTGTGTGATTAGCCAAACCTTTGTCAGTCTTCCTCTAAGGTACCAGACCTGACTTCGTTGTTCCACTACCGCCTACCCAGATCTGAAATTCTATTACCTCTGTTGTCTAGCACAATGTGAAGCCCAGTTCCTGAACATTCACAATGCTATAAGAAATGGTCTTAATGAGCATCAGCTTTAAATCATTAGTCAAATCATTGGCCTATTTGAGAAAACTACAGTTGGTTTTACCTTAATAATATTGTCTGAAATCTCATTATCATCTTGAATTTAGGTGAATGAAACATTCCAGGTCAAACACATTTGCTTCTGTTTGACTGTGTTCTCGGGAAATGATTTCCAACTTGCAAAATGAAGACAGTTCACTGCATTTTCACTTCTTATATATTCCTTTAAAGGTTTTTGCCCTTTCATTTTGTAGATGAAGTATCCTTTGGGTGAATACACTTCAACTGTTGACAGTGTATTTTTCTGCTTAATGGCATTTCAAGAGAATGTGAGGTGTGTGTCTTAAACTCAGATGATTTTACCAGAAGTGGAACTGAAGGAAGCCTTTTGTCTCATGAGAGTTTCTGGATGAGTTCAATGAATGTCTCTGAAAATTGGAGAACAAAGTATTTCCTCTCCTAGTTTAACATTGCCAAGAGTCTCAGAGCTCCGAGTCGTGCACAGTGTGGCTTACCTCATCTGAAAATGACTAAGCAAACCTTAACGTTCAAACAGCTTGTGTGTTGGAGATGGGTTTTTTTTGGATAATGTGTGCAAATGTTGAGCAAGAATGACAGTGTTGTGCAAATTTAAGTGTGTACGCTTTTATTTGCATTTTAAAGCAACATTATTTTACTTTTATTTCAACTCAGCATCTCCTAAAGCAACTCATTGCAATGCTCAAGTTCCCAAGATAACAACTTGCACACTTCAAGGTTGTAAAGAGGCAGTGAAAGTGGTGCTTTCTGCTGTGCCTTTCTGTCATATTCTCCTCTGAATGAATCAAGTACCATTGACTTCAAATAAGAAGCCACATCAGTTAGCTTAAAATGTGCTGAATCAAGTTTAAGTACAATTTTAGGTTTATAAGAAATTCATAGAAGGATTATGATATCCCCTGTATCTTGTTATCAATTCAGAAGGCTTTTGTTAAGGCAAGAGCTTTTCCATAGATGGCAGATTAATTTGTAAAAAATCTTATTAATCCTACCCTTATACACATCCTCCTACTTTTGTAAAGAGGTCTTATAAACATAAAAGTTTTAATTGTTTTGACTTTACTGAACTCTTTCATTGCTAGAGTGCAGGTAAGTGGTATTAACACAAATATGAATTCTGAACTTTCTTCCTTGATTTGCTTCTTTTCTCATACATGCTACTATAAACATGATCTTTAGACTTCTTTTACGGAAGAAGAATGCATATGCTAGAAGTCCTGAAAAGTTTGATTTATTTATGTTTCTGAAATGACTTTGACAACCTTCTCTTATGGTGGAACAGGGATTGTTTTTATCTCTGTAGAACAGAAATATATTATTAGGAGGAAGTGTTATCTTATATTATGACCCTATTAGCCTGTTAGCATTCTCCCAAGAACTGTCTCAAACTCCTACTGTCTTAGTTTTAAAGGCAGGGAAAGAAAAAAGAAGGTAAGGGAGCAAGGCATAACTACAGAGTCTGCATCTGTTTTGATCTTCCTCTGGTTCAATGTGGCATGGAAGCATTTTGTGTCAGCAAAGTGCTCTGGATACACCCTAAACTGAGTCCCAAAAGTGACATAGCCAGGCTGATAGTTCTGCTGGGCATTTGCTCAGTAGCCCTTCTTGTCATCATGTAGGTAGTTACAGTGCTTCCATTTCTATGGATGCTCACTCATTACCGTGTGGTGCAGAAATCTTCCAGCGTGCTTGCTATTCTCCCAATAAAGTATATGCAAAAAGAGAGCTCAGCTTCATTTTACCACAGAGTGTAGCAATAAGTTCAGATAATTCAAGGTTTTGAACCGTGGTGAGCTAAATTCTTGTCACTCACAAGCAAAATAGGACTGGGCCTGGGTAACACTTGATGGGAAGCTTCCAAACCATGAATAATAATGTCAGCCATTTTTCATAACAGTTTCTGATGAAAAAAGGATTTGCCTTTCTTTCTATTTCAAGATAAAATATGATCTCAGAAAATGTCAAAACTTGCTGGTTTTTACTAGAGTTAGCTTAATTTAAAAGCACTGTAAAATGTATATTCTCAGAAATTAATACTTAAATAGTTATGGAATCCACTAGCACAAAGACAGTTTTTTGAATAGATATAATCCTCATCCCTATCCTGTCCTTCCTGGTCAGTTTAGCATTTCCTCCAATTTAGAGATGTTGCTAGGACAAGTTGGACTGAAGTTGGACATGTTCTGCTTTCTCTTTCTAGTGAGCATCCCAAAAGCCATCTAAGTCTCTAAAAGTATATTTTGATAGATCAGAAACCAATATGCTAGCATGTGACAGTTCTGCAGGGAACCCAGAACTGCTAGCTATACTTATGAAAATGAAAGGACTGAAAATAAATCTCCCCTGCTCTCTGTGCCCCCATAGAACAGGTTCTTTCCCTCATTCTTCTCTTGTACTCCATAAGCTTTTGGTGACTTTTCAGGCTGCACATTTCTCGCATGATCTCTTCTGAGCAACTTTTCCACAACTTCCATTACTTCCTGTGGGTCTACTCCAATCCAGCCCT